TTTTTTTTTTTTTTTTTTTTTTTTTTTTTTTTTTTGCAAACGAGCCGATCGGATGCTAGGTGTGCTGATAAGAGCAGACACATCTAGCACCGTCGGGAAGGCTCCATCTATTGGTGGGGAGTAAGTAATTCTTCACTATGTTGGTTATGATTGATGAACAACATCAATCCCTTATAGCCCCTTAGCTTCCTTTCAATCAATAACCAACCTTTTCTAAACAGGGATGTGCTTAAGGGGACTGCTCTTACCACGCCGATAAGCACATCGCCTGGCCGTGAAGTTCAAAAAAAAAAGGGGATGTGCTTAAGGGATTGAACAAAATATTCGGAACAAACAGTGGGCCCTTTCTCAGCAGATGCTGGTCCTATGAAAAAAATCACAGCAATTGTTGTTTTATTTTTTTTTGAATAAAAAGGGGATTTAACAAGCTTGAAAGCAGTAGTATTTCATGACCTGGGGTGGGGACCAATTGCTGGAGTAAGTGCTTTAAATTCTTCTAGGCAAGTCTTTTTTTTTTTTTTTTTTTAAAGGCTACTTYTTTAAGCCCAACCAATTCAATTACCTGTCGAATCTAGACAGGGCGGCCTTTCAGGCCTTTTTTTTTTGTTGTCATTATAATATGACTATATATAGGCAAGTCTTTGAGGTTGCTGTGTAGAATTCCAACCTGGAAAGAAGAAAAAAAAAAGATTTTCAAGCTGACAGTTGCCTCGGAGTCGATTTTTTTCCACCCACTGAATTTTCCCAATCTTCTACAGTTTGCACAGTGTGATTGCAAGCGGAATTCAAGCGGAATTTTTATCTGGTTTCACACTAGTGAAACGGTATTCACCAGTTCGAAGTAGCTGATGCAGGACCCAGGGTTCGATCCCTAGTTCCCCAACTTACCTGTGAACAATATCTGTGACAACTTGAAGAATTGAACCTGCGACCTGTAGGACCGCCAGTGGTAAGTAGGTCTGTCGTAGGTCTTTAGGTAGCCAGGATTTGATCCATAGACCTGTAGAGTAGAAGTCCAGCTGCAGTCCTAGAAGGTTGGCAAGTGGTCAAGTGGTGTGACTAAAGCAAGCCCATGTTGGAGACGAGGACAAGTGGCAAGGGCAAATAGTAGGACCCCAGTGC